AGCGACATGTCGTATCATGTTGTTGTATTGGTTAATTCACTTTCAATTAATTCAGACTATTTGACCTCTAAGAGGTCAAACACATTAGAAACAGTGAATTAGGTTAAAGTTGAATTAAGTAATGTGATTGGTTAATTTAGAGTTAACTTGCCTCTAAAAGGTGACTTCACTCTTAATGCACCAATCACATTGCTTAATTCAACTTTAACTTAATTCACTTTTTTTGTAGTGTGTTTGGCTCCTAAGAAAGAAAATGAAAAAAAAACAATAAACTGAACGATTAAATTAATGAGCATGTCCTAGTTTTTTACGACTATGAGATCGAGAAAAATGATATGGAAGTTTTTTTTTGTCTGTTTTAAATTTGACAACGAGCGAGCAAATCAGTCATTGTGAAGATGTTCAATTCGATGAACAGTCAGAAGAATTAACCGAAAACATATCTTTAAATAATGAGGATGAGAATGAACTATGGATTTCAACAGTTAATGATCATGAAAGCACAATTCTAATATCATTTCTGATACTCTCATCGAAAAACAAGACGAATTACCAACTATATCTGAAGGAAAATATACGTATGAACTTCAAATAGTATTCGATAAATTAAATAAAGAAGCAAATTTAACTCTATTGAATACAGTAGAAAAAATAGTTTTTATTTTATTTTTTATTGATTTTCGAAGAGTTTATCTTGTAACTTGTCAATGGAGATTTTCGATTTACATAAGAATTATATTTTTTAAAAATCAAAAAATTTATCTGAATTATTTTATAATTTTAGTAAAATGTCATCATCATTTCAAACAAACATTCTCAACGTTCTGATCGATATAAAATGTACAAGTGAACGAAATTATTAATTGATGTTTTAACTGTATTAACATTATGAATAATTCATATTAATGAAACTAAACTTCTTTTGGGTAATTTGAAAACAAAAAATCAAATTTTGGTATGTAGGAATATTTTCATTAAAAGTAATGTGCCGAAATACAAACCTGACTATCCAAAAATCTAACACTAGACTGAGAAGTAGTATTGAATTCTGATTATCTTAGAGTATCGAGAAAAATTTTTTACCAATGTTATTTTTTACGTATTTTTGATTTAGTAGAATTGAGTGTGGTAATTACAACTATGACATTTTTATTAAAGACTAGTCAGGTAAGAGGAAAGATCTGAGACACTTTCTGAAAAACAGTTTTTAACTTCAATGCTCATGAAAATACAATTTAAGTCTATCGAAAATAGACTTATTCAATGGAAAATGTTTTTCTTTATAAAAACCGTGAATATTCAAGTTTTTTCTATTGATAAATGTCAAACATCGTCTTGCTTGTAATTTAGTATTATAAACTATTAAGAGATTCATCCTCTTTTGATTTTTCCAGAAAACAATTCAACCAAACGTTTTGAATTTTCTAGGACAGACAGATTTCAATGAGTAGAGTAAAACTTGTCACATACTCAAAATTCCAAGGTACTTCTTTCAGAGAGATGTAGGCATCGCAAAGGTCATAGATGGTAGAAATTCTTTTCCTCTCCAGCAAAATTTATATTTCGTTTTTCTGTAATAACTAGAATAAAATGGGAGTGTGTCCTTCTTTTTCTTTGAAAAATTTCGTTTGTAAAGTAAAAAAGAGACAAAATACGAAGGACACTATCGAAAACATGTTTTGTTCAGCAGTCCTAATTTTCTTGTCTGTCAAATTTCATAGGAAGAATATTTTCAGGGGAAGAAAAGATTTTGAGCACAATCGGTCGTGCTGTGTAGCGATTAACGGAAGAAAACTTCAACTTTTTCTTCCAAAATCTACTTTTTGAGGAAAATCTAAGAAAAGTGGAATTTTTTTCAAATTTTTGATAAACGAAGAGGAAGTTTGAATTTCTTAAATGTGCTCATCAGATAGAAGACATTAAAAATCTACATACAAAACATAAAAAATTGCATCAGAAAGAAGGAAAGAGGTTCTCCTAAAAAGTCATCCTTTATTCCGGCACACTATCGAAGTTTTTTAGCGAATATATGATTGAATGTAATTTCTCTGCAGACAGTATTTTCAATTTAGAACTGGATATCTTCTGAAAGATTTGTGCTCTAAACATTTCTTTGAGATCCTGTTCACTATGAATTGATGATTTTGGAACTTGACTTCAGTTATATGTCATATTTGGAATCAGTATAAAAGTTTGAAACGATTTATGTATGCATGAAATTGTTTCTGAGACTTGTTTTAGTGTCAAATTTTTAGCCCTGATTCCTCTCAAGGATGAGTGAAACAAGAAGTCTAATAGAAGTAACTAATGTTTGTCCAAAAATTAAATGGCAGTGGATATTTTTGGAATAATTCGATAACGGTAACAGTTAGCGACCTGCGACTTTCACCAACTGAAGAGTAGAAGTTGGAACGTCTTTTTCTCTGATGATGTATAAGACGAAATACTTTTAAAAGTAATCATCTTCGAAAAAAATGCAAAAGAATACATGAAAGTGACCTTTCATCTAGATGAAATTTTGATTTTGCCCTTTGATTTAGATAGAGGGACTTGAGATCTATTGTTCAAGATACAATGGAAATTGTTCTCGTATTGCATTCTAACATTGAGCAAATGGAATCATGTATTTACGCGCCGAAATAATAGGGAATTTTACTGATTTTTTTTTATACTAAGTTTTCACACTTTTTCTTATAATAGCGTAGAATTTTGATAAAAATGTAATGAAAAGTAAAAAAGCGCATTGTATCTTGTTTATTTACGAATCTTAGTATTCTTAAGTAATATTTTACAAGTTTGAGATTTACTTTTCATTGTCCAAATGACTTTAATTTTTCTCATATCCCTGCCAAGAATTAATGGCGAAGATTTGATTGGAAATAAATTCGTACAGACAATTAGAAATATGTACAGATCGACTTAGTTTTTGTGCTGATTCTAAATATGATGTTTGTATGAAAACAGCTGTCGATTGTTCTGTTCAAATATAAGTCAAAGAAGACACAAATTGAGTCGCAAGAATAGGTATGCTTTATTAAACATCAAAATTCGTGTTGCAAATAGTGTCGTCTTGAATGACGTACTCAGTAAAAATATTTCAATGATACAGCATCTATACAGATGACAACGTCTTAAGAAGAAAACATCATTGTTTGCAGCAATATGATCCCATCAGGACGGTATTTGACATTTATTAATAGAATACAATTAAATATTCACGAATTTTTATAGACTCTGATAAAGAAAAGCATTCTGCATCGAATGAGTCTATTGTCGAGAGATCTTAATTGGATTTTCACAAATATTCAGGTTAAAAACTGTTTTTCCGTGCTTTGAAAAACTGTTTCAGATCTTTCTTATTATCCAACTAATGTTTAAAAAAATGTCATAGTTGTAATTAGTATATTAAACTCTACCAAACTATAAATACTTCGAATGAACTAGCATTACAAAATTTTTCCCCATATTCCAAAGTAATCAGAGTTCATAGCTGATTCTCAGTTAAATAAAATTAATATCAGATTTTTGGCACGGCAATTTCGTAGTTCGAAATACCTCCTTTTATTTATTCGAATTTGATAGAATTTAGAAAAACATATGTGATCAAATTATTAAATATTTTGAAAACATTTCCATATCGACATGGGTGTAATGAATTTAGTATGTGACGCTGCGCCTAAAAATATAAATTATACTGTCCTTTGTATATGACTACGATTGCTTTCATTATTCATTTTACTTTTAAGTTAGTGTGTTGATTTTCACTTTGCTGGACTATTCTACGATAATAGCATATTTTATTTTCAGATGAATAATAATGAAACTCGAGATCATTACCAACAAGTAAGTATAATCAAAAATCGACAAAATTTTTAAAAAGTTAATATGAACTGTTACCGTTAAATAATTGTTATTTTTCTATAGGGTTTTGGTGCTAATGCAAACAACAATAATGAAACATCAACATCAGCATCATTATCATCATCACGACCATCAAATTCAAGCCAATTTCATAAAAATTAGGGATGTCAACGTGATCCGTTCCTCAGCATTCCGTTCTTAGGAACGGGGAATGCTACCCCGTTCCCGTTCTTAGGAACGGGGAACGCTACCCCGTTCCCGTTCTTAGGAACGAGGAACGCTACTCCGTTCCCGTTCCTGGGAACGGGGAACGGGGAACGCTGAACACTCAAACATAAAAAGAAAAGTGAATATGTCTAGAGACCTCGCCATGTTGAAATATAGCGTGAAATGCGATTTTGACAAGCGTTCCCGTTCCTAGGAACGGGGAACGCTGACACCCCTATTTATGACACAAAACTTTTTTTTTCTTTCATAGCTGTTAACTTATTTTTTTTTTGTAATTCAATTTCTACAAATAAATGTTTATATTAATTGTAATATCTTCTAACAAAATAGAAAGCTTTCTTATTTGAATCATATAATAAACATATATCTTTCTTGAAATAAAACAATAACAACAGATATTAATTTCTCAGCAGTTTTTTTGTTCGGGGTGGATTCACTTTCATTAGGTCGTTGTAATGAGAAAAATTCTTCAGGAAATAAAATTCAATGTCATCGATGGACTATTCTTGTTTGTTCACATTATAATCCAGGAATATGTTTAGAATATCATCAAATATATCAACAAAAAATTCAAACACGAGCTCATGTGCTTAATAATCCAATAAATGGTTTACGTCAGATATTACATACATTAACCTATCATTGAATAATGAAGAATTTCCAAGAAAAAATCGATTAATGATCAGATAAATGTAAAAATGAAACTGATATGAAACATAAACATATGTATAATCAATTATCAAATGCAATTAAACAATTAAATATTGATTAATCTATTACCGAAGAATCATTAACAAATCTTCTTTGAATACCAAACAACATTCTGATAAAACATGAAGAATCATTACAACAACGATTTGAACAAATTTAAAAAACTGTTCAAGAGATCAATTCATTTATTCAAATAACCGATGATGAGTAAAAAACTTAACAATAAGTTTAAAGAACACCTATTTTTGTCTTTTATAGCCAATTAAAAATAGATCAACCAAAAGCTTTAGTAAATAATTATTCCTTATCGTCACCACTTTATAAACATGTTCTAAATGATAACCCAGGTACAATAGCAGGTTCACCATTTCATCATAATTATTATTTACTCATCTGTCAATCAAAAGCATGTTTTTCTCTTATCTTCATCGAAGATAATCAACGTATAAACGAAATTCCGATTGATTATTTTGTTTATGACATCTGTTGGTTTCAATCAAAACAAGTTTTTCTTGTTGCTACGGAATATTATCTTTATGAATTTTCTCCATTAAGTAATCATCTGTCAAAACCATATGAAAACTTCAAATCTACTCGAACATTATGTAGTTTAGCTTGTAATTCAACCAATCTATATATTATCCATAAACCTGATATGATCATGTATGAAAGATATTTAAAAAAACCATTTGAGAAAAAAAGAGAATGGACAAAGAATGATCTTATGTATGATAAAGATGATCAAACTGTTGGATGTATTCGTGTGGATGAACAAAGACAGATTTGTAACGATTGAACAAATGTTAAATGAAATAACAAAGAAAGCTTTGTTTTGTTTTATTTCTTTCTAATAGCATTATCAATCAAACAAATTGATAATCAATGTCGTCTTGATCTCTTTTCAATAAATAATATAGAACGTTTACATTCTGGATCATCATTCAATAAAAATTTCAGTAAGATTGAGTGTTCTTGGAAAAAAAAATTTAGAGGGGTGGGGGGCCCTGAATCTATCCAAATATTGACAAATAAGTTCAAGAGCAAACATACTTTATTTTTCAGATTAATCATGTCCTGAATGAATCGTTCGAAACATT